GGTACAGAAAAAAATAAAAACACACAAAAAGAGAAAAATATAGCACAAAGTGGAAAAATTTATTATGATCCCCGTATTTGTGGTCCTTCCAATAAGAATGCAACACTTGTATTTCTTTATTTTCTCTCTCCAATAGAGAGAGAAAGAAAAAGAAAAGAAAAGAAATGGTACAGAAAAAATAAAGCACACAAAAGGGGAAAAGATAGCACAATGTGGAAAAATTTATTATGATCCCCATATTTGTGGACCTTCCAATAAGAATGCAACACTTGTATTTATTTTTTTTTCTTTTTTTCTCTCTCCAATACAGAGAGAAAGAAAAAAAAGAAATGGTACAGAAAAAATAAAGCACACAAAAAGGGGAAAAATAGCACAAAGTGGAAAAATTTATTATGATCCCCGTATTTGTGGTCCTTCCAATAAGAATGTAACAGTTGTAATTATTTTCTTTTTTCTTTTTTTCTCTCTATAATAAAGAGAAAGAAAAAAAAGAAATGGTACAGAAAAATAAAGCACACAAAAAGGGAAAAAGATTTTACAAAGTCGAAAAATTTATTACGATCCCCGTATTAGTGGTGCTTCAAATAAGAATGCAACATTTGTATTTAATTTTTCTTTTTCTTTTTTTTCTTTTTTTTTCTCTCCCATAGAGAGAGAAAGAAAAAAAAAAGAAATGGTACAGAAAAAATAAAGTACACAAAAAGGGGAAAAGATAGCACAAAGTGGAAAAATTTATTAAAATTATTATGATCCTCGTATTTGTGGTCCTTCCAATAAGAATGCAACACTTGTATTTATTTTTTTTATTTTTCTTTTTTTCTCTCTCCAATAGAGAGAAAAAGAAAAAAAAGAAATGGTACAGAAAAAATAAAGCACACAAAACGGGAAAAGATAGCACAAAGTGGAAAAATTTATTATGATCCCCGTATTTGTGGTCCTTCCAATAAGAATGCAACACTTGTATTTATTTTTTTTCTTTTTTTCTCTCTGCAATAGAGAGAGAAAAAAAAAAGAAATGGTACAGAAAAAATAAAGCACACAAAAAGGGGAAAAGATAGCACAAAGTGGAAAAATTTATTATGATCCCCGTTGTGGTCCTTCCAATAAGAATGCAACACTTGTATTTATTTGTTTTTTATTTTTTTATTTTTTTCTCTCTCCAATAGAGAGAGAGAAAGAAAAGAAAAGAAAAGAAATGGTACAGAAAAAAATAAAAACACACAAAAAGAGAAAAATATAGCACAAAGTGGAAAAATTTATTATGATCCCCGTATTTGTGGTCCTTCCAATAAGAATGCAACACTTGTATTTCTTTATTTTCTCTCTCCAATAGAGAGAGAAAGAAAAAGAAAAGAAAAGAAATGGTACAGAAAAAATAAAGCACACAAAAGGGGAAAAGATAGCACAATGTGGAAAATTCATTATGATCCCCATATTTGTGGACCTTCCAATAAGAATGCAACACTTGTATTTATTTTTTTTTTCTTTTTTTCTCTCTCCAATACAGAGAGAAAGAAAAAAAAAGAAATGGTACAGAAAAAATAAAACACACAAAAAGGGGAAAAATAGCACAAAGTGGAAAAATTTATTATGATCCCTGTATTTGTGGTCCTTCCAATAAGAATGCAACACTTGTATTTATTTTTTTTCTTTTTTTCTCTCTGCAATAGAGAGAGAAAGAAAAAAAAGAAAAAAAAATGGTACAGAAAAAATAAAGCACACAAAAAGGGGAAAAGATAGCACAAAGTGGAAAAATTTATTATGATCCCCGTATTTGTGGTCCTTCCAATAAGAATGCAACACTTGTATTTATTTATTTTTTATTTTTTTATTTTTTTCTCTCTCCAATAGAGAGAGAGAAAGAAAAGAAAAGAAAAGAAATGGTACAGAAAAAAATAAAAACACACAAAAAGAGAAAAATATAGCACAAAGTGGAAAAATTTATTATGATCCCCGTATTTGTGGTCCTTCCAATAAGAATGCAACACTTGTATTTATTTATTTTTTTCTTTTTTTTCTTTTTTTCTCCGTCCAATAGAGAGAGATCGAAAAAAAAAGAAATGGTACAGAAAAAATAAAGCTCACAAGGGGAAAAGATAGCACAAAGTGGAAAAATTTATTATGATCCCCGTATTTGTGGTCCTTCCAATAAGAATGCAACACTTGTATTTATTTATTTTTTATTTTTTTATTTTTTCTCTCTCCAATAGAGAGAGAGAAAGAAAAGAAAAGAAAAGAAATGGTACAGAAAAAGTAAAAACACACAAAAAGGGGAAAATATAGCACAAAGTGGAAAAATTTATTATGATCTCTGTATTTGTGGTCCTTCCAATAAGAATGCAACACTTGTATTTATTTTTTTTCTATTTTTTTCTCTCCAATAGAGAGAGAAAGAAAAAAAATAAATGGTACAGAAAATATAAAGCACACAAGAAGGGGAAAAGATAGCAAAAAGTGAAAAAATTTATTATGATCCCCGTATTTGTGGTCCTTCCAATAAGAATGCAACACTTGTATTTATTTTTTTTCTTTTTTTCTCTCTGCAATAGAGAGAGAGAAAAAAAAAAAAGAAATGGTACAGAAAACTAAAGCACACAAAAAGGGGAAAAGATAGCACAAAGTGGAAAAATTTATTATGATCCCTGTATTTGTGGTCCTTCCAATAAGAATGCAACACTTGTATTTCTTTTTTCTTTTTTCTTGACATGGAGGAAGAGGATACAGAAAGTCCTTTATTGTTAGGAAGACCCTTTTTAGCAACTGCAAGATCTTTGATAGATGTTGAACAAGGAAAGTTGTTGCTAAGGGTGGATGAGGAAACAGTCACAATTGATGCATTTGAAACCATCAAGCATCCTGTTGATGTGGAGGATTGTTTTAGATTGGATGTGATACAGGAGGCTGTGGAAGAAGTGAATAAAAAATAAGAATTCCCAGTTGAGGAACAAAGATCAGAAGAAGAGACAGGTACATAGGATTACCAAGAAGAGCCAGAAGTGGAAGAGCTTGAGAAGAAGATTGATGACATTCCAAAAGGAGCACCTAAGGTAGAACTTAAAGAATTACCTTCACATTTGAAGTATGTGTTCCTTGGGGATGATCAAACATATCCAGCAATCATTAATGCAATGTTGTCTGATGAGGAAGAAGGGAAGTTGATTAAGGTACTCAAGAAGAATAAAATGGCTATTGGATGGCAGTTTTCAGATCTTAAGGGTATTAATCCTTCCTTTTGCACTCACAAAATATTGATGGAAGAAGAGGTCAAACCAGTAAGGCAACCACAGAGGAGACTCAACCCCACTATGAAGGAAGTAGTGAGGAAGGAGGTGGTGAAGTTGCTTGATGCTGGGATGATTTACCCAATTTCAGACAGTTTCTCAACCCCACTGAGCGTTTTAGCGCCCTGTTACAGGAAGAGGCCAAAACTTGCTGGTGATGAGCGCTAAAACGTCCACACAGAGCGTTTTAGCGCGCTGCTACACTAAGAAGATGGAAAATTGCTAGTCTTGGGCGCTAAAACGGCCTGCAATATGCGTTTTAGCGCCCTAAAGTGGAAAAAGATTCTGGTCTTCACCGCTAAAACGTCCAAATCAAACATTTTAGCGTTGGAGTCAGTTAAAGTTAGTTGAGCATTCACCAAGTTTGGACGCTAAAACGGTCATTCCTTAACGTTTTAGCGTTGAAATCAGTTAAAAGCAGTTGAGCATACGTAAAGCATGGACGCTAAAACGGCCACTTATGGACGTTTTAGCGCCCACATCAGTTTTCTGTTTTTAATTGTAACACTATATAAGGCAAAGCCTTGACACTTAGATCAGAATCTGGGGGATCTGAACTCTCTCTCTCTCTTAAATTTAGTCTGACTTCTCTCTAAATTCTCTTAGTTTTTGTATTAGGATTTCCTTGTAATAGTTTGGAGATTGAAGACTTTCAACATGGAAATGAAGTTTGTTTCTTCTTCTCTTATTTATTCCTTAGTCATGTCTGAGTAGAGTCTTTGTAGTCTGAATGCAATGGAACTCCATGATAATATTATGTTGATTTGATTAATATGATGAAGTATTTTTCATGTGTTGATTTGAGATTTTCTGAGTTAATTATTTCTATCAAAGAAGTAGTATAGAACATGGATGTTTATATGACTTCTGTATTTGATAATCTCAACATCAGAATTCTAGTAGTCAAGGGATTGATGCTAGGATTCTGATGTGATCTTAAGACCTTAGTAATTAATGCATGTATTAAGAAAGGGATCACCAAGGGATTGGGGTTTCTGATTAATGTATCTATCAGGGTAGTAAGGGATTACATCTTGATGATAAGTAAAAGGTTGATTAACATCACATGGAAAGGAATTCATCATATGATCAATTTTTATATGGGTTATCATGGAGGAAAGTTGTTTTCTGACTACTTGTTGTTTTTATTAATTCCTAATCCATATTTACTTTGTGTCAAATTACTTACAATCAATTTTCTGGTGACAAATTATTCATGATTTTTACAAACTCTTATTTGATTCAAATTAGTTTTCTATGGTATATTGGTGTTTGAACACAATTCCTCGTGGGAACGATCTTTACTCATCATTTTATTACTTGTACGACTAGTGCACTTGCTAAACGTCCAACATCAAACTCATAATCCTTCAGGAATTCCATCCATCTCCTTTGTCTCATATTAAGCACCTTTTGATCGAATAGATACTTCAAGCTTTTGTGATCACTAAAAACTGTGAAGGTAGCACCATACAAGAAGTGTCTCCATATTTTCAATGCAAAAACCACGGCCGCTAACTCAAGATCATGAGTAGGGTAATTCTCTTCATGTGGTCTCAACTGTCTAGAAGCATAGGCCACTACCTTTCGCTCCTGCATCAACACACACCCTAATCCATACTTGGATGCATCACAATAGATCTCAAATCTCTTCTCCGGATCAGGAAGAATCAGAACCGGTGCGGTAGTCAACTTATCTTTCAATTCTTGAAAACTCACATCACACCCAAGGGTCCATGCAAATGGCACCCCTTTTCGGGTCAACCTAGTCAATGGCAAGGCAATTCTGGAGAATCCATTAATAAACCGCCTGTAGTATCCTGCTAAACCCAGAAAACTTCGGATCTCAGTAACACTCTTGGGTCTCTCCCAATCCAGCACAGCTTCAATTTTACTCGGATCAACAGCCACTCCTGTAGATGATATGACGTGTCCAAGAAACTGGATCTCATGTAACCAAAACTCACACTTGGATGGTTTGGCATATAACTGATGCTCCCTTAAAATCTGTAGAACTATCTTCAAATGCTCTGCATGTTCTTCCTTACTTTTGGAGTAGATCAGAATATCATCAATGAATACTACAACAAACTGATCTAAATGTGGTTTGAAAATTCGGTTCATATAACTCATGAACACGGTCGGGGCATTAGTAAGCCCAAATGGGATCACTAGATACTCATAGTGCCCATATCTAGATCGGAAAGCCGTCTTCGGAATATCCTCTGCTTTTACCCGAATCTGGTGATATCCGGAACGAAGATCAATCTTTGAGAACACTGAAGCACCCCTGAGCTGATACAGATCATCAATGCGTGGTAGAGGATACTTGTTCTTTACTGTTACCTTGTTTAACTGTCGATAATCAGTGCACAACCTCATAGTCCCATCCTTCTTTTTCACGAAGATGACTGGTGCACCCCAAGGAGATACACCCGGTCTGATAAAGTTCTTGCGGGATAATTCTTCTAACTGCTTCTTCAGCTCAGCTAGCTCCACTGGTGACATCCGGTATGGAGCCAATGAGATAGGCCCCACACCAGGTACTAAGTCAATTGAGAATTCAATCTCCCTCTCAGGTGGAAAATGAGGAATTTCTTCCGGAAATACATCTTCAAACTCGCATACAACCGGAATATTAGCAGTAGGTTCTTTGGAGTCTCCTACGAGTCCTCCCAGGATAATGTATCCTGCATCTCCCTCATTTAGAGCCTTATTTAATTTTTGTGCCGTCAAGTACAAACTGTCCGGTTTTTCTCCTTTTGCAGCAAAGAAAACCCTTCTGCTACAACAATCTAGCATCACACCATATCGGACCAGCCAATCCATACCTAAGATAATGTGTAGATTCATGCCCTCAAGCACTATCAAATCCACCATATACTCTTCTTGCTCATATATGAATCTGACTTCTTTGCACTTCAAGGAAGTAGAAACAATGTCTCCGGTGGCAGTCTTCACTACCATGGGAGGCGTGAACTCACAAATGGGTAAATGTACCCCATTAGCAACAAATTCCGATATGAAGGAGTGGGTAGCTCCAGAATCAAACATGGCATCAAAAGCATATCCTCTGATAAGAATAGTACCTCTGATAAGGTTTGGAGACCTCTCTGCCTCCTGCTGTGTCACTGCATATACCCTGGCACTAGTGGGCGCCATAGGCTCCTCTATGGCTCTCTGAGTAGGCACGGACTGAATAGGGATCGCCTGAATGGCTGCAACTTGCCCCGTCTTCTTGGGGCACTTTCTGGAATAATGACCTGCTTCCCACACTTGGCACAAGTGGGAATTTTCCTGCACTAAACATTCCGCTTCCATTCTTCACAAAGGGAGTCTTCTTAAACTTGGTGTTCTGCTGTGCTTGCAAACCCTTGCCCTTACTCTTCCAGGGCGTAGTCCTCCCACTGAAGCTCTTTCCTGCTGCTTCCTTTCCCCTGGTACGATAGTGCTCCTGAATATTCTGGCACTGCTCGATCAACTCCACAAAATTTCTGGTGCAATGACCCGCCAGTTTGTCTGCTATCATATCATTCAGACCCTTCCTGAATCGAAAGGCCTTGTCTTCTGGAGTGAGGGGAGTTCTACCATAACAAGAATATTTTGCCAAGCGGTTGAACTTGCTGAGATATTCATCCACAGTCATGCCTCCCTGCCGGAGGTCTTCAAACTCACTCTTCTTCCTTTCCCTGGCTTCTTCAGGGAAGTACTTTTGCAGAAAATGCCTCTCAAATAATGGCCAAGTAATAGCATAACCTTGGCA